ATAACAGGGCTGGGGAAAGCACTGAACCTACCAGTGCTAATGCACAAGAAGGCAGCTGTGTGCCAAACCATCACATCTGTGACCAACAGCTTCGAAGCCCACTACGGCAGAGGTGTCAAACTCTTTTGTTACGAAGGCCGGATCTTACATAAATGTCACTTTATCGGGCCGGGCCACGTGTGCCATAAAACGTAACGCCAGGTTACCAGAGATAGAAACAGTATAAAAGACAGTAGCTGAGATGATGTATCCTCACAGCAAGGCCCCTTGGGATGAGACAGGGATGCAGGGGAAAACCCAGTTAGGCGGACTGGACAGGCAGCGGTGCAGCGCTGGGCAGATGCCCCCATGATGCTTGACTGCTTGCAGATGAAGTTGTTCTGCCATGCAGAAGCCACAATGGAGTGGCTCCACCCACTCCTCCCCAGCACTTCCTCCCTTGCATCAGTTGCTCGCAGGCCACATAAGAGCCCTGGACGGGCCGGTTCCGGCCCCTGGGCCTTGTGTTCGACGCCCCTGCTCTACGGGACCAGTAAGTATCCTTTTTTAATTGCCTGCAGAACCTCTAGCCCTGGCAGTCCGAACATTTCTGTCCTTGTGAACACCTTTGGAATTCTGACACGTGGCGGTGAGTGCAGCCACAAAAATGGCTGCTGCGGGAGGTGGCGCCGGCCAGAAAAACGAGGTCATGCGTAACACTTAATAGTAACGCTTCAGCATTTTAGTAGGAGCTCTGTTTAATAGGTTGCTGTTAAAAATGACCATCTTGTTTAAAAATACTTTCTCGATTACATACCCAATTACCTTCAGTCACATTCTTGTGCTGTAGTCAGGGGTCATTTCCTGCGGGAGTGCACAGGAGCGGAGCTCCGGCAGTAAAGAGCCCACGGGGCAGGCACATGCAACAAGCCCCACCCCCTGCTCCCAGCAGCCCTCAGTCAGAGCAAGAAGCAGCCAGGTAAGTTGCAGAGGCCTCCCGGTCCAAAACAGTCCAGTGGCACCTTTAAGACCAAGTTTTATTCAGGTACAAGCTCTCCCTCCTTTGTGAGGACAGATCTGCATGTCCTGTCCCCCCAATAGCTAGCAATCCAAAACAGTCCAGTGGAGCCTGAGTTGCCTTCTGGCAGGGGGTGAGGCATATGCAAATAAGTTATGCTGATGAGTTATGCTAATGAGCTCCTACACCTCTTTTTCTATGAAATGACCCCTGGCTGTAGTGATAATTGCTGCCCAGTCAACTTTTTAAAAAATCTCCAGTGGCCAGTCAGAATCCCTGCTGGACAAAAGTCCCAATTTGGCCTTGCCCACTTTCTAAAAAAAAAAAAAATACTTGGTAGGCACCCGGAAGGGCTGCAGTGGCTCAGAGGTTAAGATGCTGAACTGCAGATCGGAAGGTCGGTAGCTCGGCAGCTGGAGACCCTCGTGCCACGTGACGGAGTGAGCTCCCATCTCTGGCCCCGGCACCTGCCAACCTAGCAGTGTGAAAGCAAGAAACTGCAAGTTTATATGCCAATAAAGGCTGACTTGACTTGACTTGACACTTCAGTAGGAAGGTAACAGCGTTTCTGTGCCCCTCGGTGTTTAGTCATGCCGGCCACATGACCACAAGAAGTCCTTGGACAGTGCTGGCTCTTTGGCTTGGAAACGGAGACCAGCACCGCCCCCTAGAGTCAGATTCGACTGGCTTTCGAGCAAAGGAAACCTTTCCCTTTCCCTAGGCACCAGGAAAGGTGTGGGCAGGGTCCATGGCACCCACAGCCACCATGCCGGGGACCACTCATCTAGCCACTAATCATATATGTTCTGTTCAGTTCATCAACCAAGACCACGGCAAGTAATTAGTCTGAACGGGTACCCTTTGCGAAAGGGCTTCTGCCCCTAAAGTCGTCAAATTGAGCCATTGTGTGTGATATACAGCCTTAGCTAAGCTGCCTCCTTCTATCTGCCAATATCAGTGCACAGGGTTAGCGTATGGAATGACTGATAGCTCTTCTCATCAATACTGGCCCAGTATAAAAATAATATTCCCCTCTCCTAACTATGCAAACCTGTTTTGAACCATGGTTGCAGATTCTGGTTTGAAACTAACCAGGGCTCTTTTTGTAGAAAAAGCCCAAACAAAACATAATAGGCCACACCCAACAGCATAATAGGCCACACCCAACAGCAGGAACTCATTAGCATATTGGGCCACACCCCTGACAGCACAGCTCATTAGCACATTAGGCCGCACCCCCATGTTACCAGAAGTGTGCTCATGCAGCCACACCCACCCTTTCCTCGTTATTCTGTTTGCCTTGTCTGTTGTCAAAACCCAGGGCCTTTTTTTGTAGCAGGAACTCCTTTGCCTGTTAGGCCACACACCCCTAATGTAGCCAATCCGAATGAGTTTCTGCTGTTGGGTGTGGCCTATTATGCTAATGAGTTCCTGCTGGGTGTGGCCAACTCGGGAGCCAGCCGGAACTCCGTTCCTGTGCGTTCCTGCCCCAAAATAGCCCTGACTCTTATCATCAATACTGGCCCAGTATAAATGTAATATCCCCATCTCCTAACTATGCAAACCTGTTTTGAACCATGGTTGCAGTTTCTGGTTTGAAACTAACCCTGGTCAGCATAAACACCAGTGCAAATGTAACCATAATCCATTCCAGAAAAAAGGGATATTGTTACACGAGAGTAGGAAAAAGGGGGGATCACCCTTACAGTGCGGTGACCATTGGCTTCTACAGATTTCAAAGAATATGACTCTGGTTAGGATTGCATCGTCAATATCCTAGTTATAGTTAGGAGATGCTCAGCACAACTCTGTACAGATTTACCCCAGTCTCTCAGTCCATTTAAACCAAGGGGTTTAGACTGATGTAACTCTGTGTGGGATTGTGCTCTAAAAACGTTGCATCGGCACTGGACTTTGCTACCATGGAAGGAAGTAATATCCGTGCTGTTTAGCGGAGTGCCAGATGCAAAAGATTTCCTTTAGTATTCCAGGGTGGCAATCATGCGCACAAGATAAAGGGGGGGGGGAAGCGAGGCTATTTGCTCCATAGGAATTTGACCCGCAGTTGCGCAATCACACAGTCCTTGGAAGCTGCGGGCACAGGCCGCCACTACATGATCGGACGCAATCGCGGGTTAGTCGGTTTGGGGTTTTTTTGCCATGTGTTTCCGGTGCGCTTCAACGAGGGATCGATGATTTGTATCTCCGCACTGAGGGCTCCCTATGCAGTGTCAGTGGGTTTAGATTAGAAGAACATAATTTGGATTAGAATTGCTCTATAAATTGCTGATACTTTCTGAATCGTCAGACTTGTATTATTATCTGATTTAAAATATCCGTATCTCACTTTTGAATCTGTCAAGTCCAAACGGTGTCCCGCAACAGTTCCAGTCAGATTCACAATGCAATTGTCAGAATCAAAAACAATTGTCAGAATCAAAAACAATAAATAAAAGGCTGGAGAAAAGAATTAAAGCCGCAAACTATCAAAATAAATTCACTGTAGGCTTTCAGTTGTAAAGCCCAGCAGTCTCCATTCCAATGCAAGGTAAAGATCATGTGGTCACAGGTAACAAATACATTTCAGGGGCACACGAGGCACTTGGAAATAAATGTGGATTTATACCAAAGGAACCGGAAAGGGGAGATATCTGCACAAAATCTCATGGGTCAGGGGTCTAAATTATCGCTGCAAATTAGCCAGTTGAATTCATTTCTGTGAGGGACTTAACCCCAGCGTTGCACTGGAGCAATCAGACCCGTGCATATGTGTGTTGTCAGCAAAATGGAATGTATCTTTGTGCGCTAGTTAAACCTGACTGTGTCCCTTCTGTGCCTTAGAATCAAATTCAGTCTCTGCTTATGTCCATGCATCTCCCAGTGATATTGGCCATAGTAAGTACAGGGCTGTGTGTATTCTATGATTCTGCACAACTGCAGAAAAAAAAAAAGCAGTAAATGTGATGGTGGGTGCAGGATTCAGCTTCTTGAGGCACACACACACACACACCCTTTTAAAGTGTGTTTCTAGTCCTTATGGCTGTAGTGTGGCCTTAAAGGCATTTCGCTTTCCAGGCATCGGGGTGGGATTGACCATTCCCAGCGTTACCCCCTTGCTCTTCCCCTTCATGAGAAACAGATTAAATTATACAAATGAGCAAAAATATGCATACTTGCTTGTTTTCCATAACAAATAGAGCATGGAGAATTAAAATTTTCTTTTTACAGCATAGTTAATCTGAAGTGAAATAAACTTGGTGTCAAATCGTGATTCTTTTTTTAAAAAATCAGCAGGAGCATGCATAGCCCTGAATAAGCTGCATTGTGCATGCGCTCGGCTGTTTACATGCTGATCCTTCTTGAGCAGAAACAAAGCGAAATTTAGCTTCCTTATAGTTTCACCTCTGTTTCCTTCTTTTAGGCAAATTTCCAGCCTTCATGGTTGTGAGGATAAATTTGAGATTGGGCGGCCAGCCCGAAACCAAACGGGTTGCCAGCAGCCAGGGGCTTGTACTTTTTTGCCTTGTTTCTACAGAATACATTTTGCAAAGTAGCTTAATTTGCATCATTTATGTAGGTGGTACTTTGAGTTACTTGGGCACAAAACCTTTTTTTTTTTTTAGCACCGAGTACACACAGCCCTGAGTAAATGGCAAGTGTATATGCACAGCTAAGCACAGGATCAGCTCACCTGCTGAAACCCTTTCTTTTTGGTTGCTTATATGTATTTTGGACTTCTTTCCTTTTTTGTCTGTGTAAACTGCTGTCTGTCAGCATTCTCCTGTGTATGCTTTTATCTTGCCATGTGGTTGGGGTGACGACATAACTTGCAATCCTAATTGGAAACGGTTTTGTAGCTTTGCCAGTTATTAAGCATTACCCCTCATGAGTGTGCTTGTCATTGTTTCATAGAGTTTTATTTAGAAAATGTTTATTTAGAAAATGGAGGGGGGGGGATACAGATATGATATGAGATGCTTCTCTTTATCTTTATTTGGTCTAGTCCTGTCGTAGTGGAAATCCCCCATTTTGGATCGATGCGCGGGAAAGAAAGAGAATTGATAGTGCTTCGGAGTGAAAACGGTGAGACGTGGAAAGAGCACCAGTACGACAGCAGGCACGAAAACCTCAGTGAAATCCTCAATGGCATGAATGAAGGTAAATATGAGGAATTTCACATTACCCTTTTTAACTCGTTTTGAAGCCATTTTTGATTTGTCGTGGAGTAAACCGGTATAGGGCTGCCATTTCACACATGGCTTTCCCCTTCTGGTAAAGAGCTGGATCTGAAGCAGTTTGCCATTTCAGACTGCACCGCTTTTTCCTGCTTTCCCCCCGCCATTTTTCACCCGAGCGGGCAATCTCTGGCTTTTTAAAAAAAATGTTCGCTTTAGAGCGCTATAGCGCTATAGCGCTATAACACAACACTCCAGACATTCAAATGGGGTTGATATAATGCTGTTGTATAATAGCGTTATACTGTTGTTGTAGCGCTATAGCGCTATAAAGCGAACGTTCCAAAAAAAAAAAGCCAGAGATCGCCCGCGCGGGTGAAAAACGGCGGGGGAAAGGGCATTGGAACCGGGGGAGGGAAGAAGACTACTTGGAAGTGGTTGACAGGTAAAACGCTTCAGCCCCGTTTCCTAAACGGGACAGTGTGAAATTACAAATATATTCCGGTAGGGAACCGGTTCTAAAACGGTTCTGTCTGAAATAACAGACCAGAAACCGTTTGGGAACCGTTCCTCTTCCGGATTATATCGTCTGTCTGAAATTCCTCTATGTTACAGCATCACTTTGGCTTGTGCAAATATTAACCACTGGGGAAGTATCAGCTGGGGGGGGGGACCCTTATTTAAAAAAACAAATCATTAAAATCCAATCTCACATTGTCAATTTCAGTAAGTAGTAGAGTATAATCCCTGACCTGATCTCATAAAATCTTGGAACCTAAATAGGGTCAGCCCTGGTCCTTATTTGGAAGGGAGACCTCCAAGGAATGCCAGGGTCATGGTGCAGAGGCAAGGGAGGGCAAGCCACCCCTGAACATCTCTTGCCTTGAAAATTCCACGGGGTCTTCACCAGTCAGCTGTGACTTGACGGCAAAAACAGAAGTTGGGTGTAGTGTCATAATGGACATGCAGCCATACCCATCATACCTGCCCGTAGAAAACCATACAGCATTCTCATCCTGAGCTACTTACAGAGGTGCAAAGCAGCTGAGTTATACATCTGGGTAGGGCCTGTATCTGGCACAGAAGAGAATAAAGGACAGCCATTTAGCTTCAGAGTTGTCGCTTACAATTGGGAGATCTGCAAGGACTCATGGTGGGAAGGGGGATATCATTTCCCTGTTCCATGTCTCCCCCTTGCTTTCCCTCCCCCTGACAGTGCCTTCAGCCCTTCCCATTAGTTCGTCTCCCACCCATTAACCTACCTATCTTTTTGTGTTTTTCCCCATCAGCCTCTGCTCCCTCTCACTCATCCTCCTCCTGCTCCCGTCCCTCAGCTTACTCTTTTAACATTTTTTTTTACTACTCCTCCCGCCAGCTTCACCTTCTGTCAGGGCTCTTTCTGTAGCAGGAGCTCCTTTGCATATTAGGCGACACACCCCGTAATGTAGCCAATCCCCCAAGACCTTACAGTAGCCCCTGTAAGAAGAGCTCTGTAAGCTCTTGGTGGATTGGCTACATTAGGGTTGTGTCGCCTATTATGCAAAGGAGTTCCTGCTACAAAAAGAGCCCTGCGCTTTTTTTAAAGTCTTGTCTCCTTTCCCCCTTCCATGTGCAGAAATGAACTGAAACTTGGGATCTTCATCAATGTCGGTTGTGGGTTTCCTGGCAACCCTGACCATGGCCACTGAGCTCTCATAACGTAGTTCTTGTAATATCTTAGTTGCAAAAGTTGCTCCTATGATTTGGGGGGGGTGTCTAACCCCCAACTTCTTAATTTTATTTACAAATCTCCCCTGTCTGTCCCTGACCCCATTGTGTGGAATTTTTGATCCACATTCTACGTCCTGGTTCAGAATTAGATATAGGAAGTCTCCTCCCATTTCTGATCCCCCCCCCCAGATGTATTCCTTCCATTCACCCTGCCAAATTCCATATTTTCTGTTTTTGTTGGAATATCCATGGTTTCTTTCCTTGATGTTATTTCTGTTTGTGCCATTGTTAGGCTACATATCACTAGTTTTCACTGGTATTCTTAGTCCCCTCCTCCGATAAAATTTTGGGGTTGTGGACCCACAGCTCTTTTTTGAGGAGTCATGTTAATCTCAAACATTTATGTGATTGGCTATATGAATTTAGTTTCTCATCAGTTTAGCCCCAGTGGGGGTGGAGAAGAAGGTGTGTGCCAGTCAGCCACTTTCCAAAATGCCAGTTTGTTTCTGCTTCTCTGGAACTGATCAATTCCCTCAGGAACACTAAATAATTCTTTTGGTACATTAGTTAGCCCTACCACGGATAGCTTAGGTCAATTCCGATGGGCCTCAGAGTTAACCTACAATTGTGGGAGAGGACTCCAGAAATATATCCTTTCTGGACAGATGGATGTATCTGTTATTTTCAGTGGAAGCATTGGAAACAAACTCCAGGGCTCTTTTTGTAGAAAAAGCCCAGCAGGAACTCATTAGCATAACAGGCCACACCCAACAGCAGAAACTCATTAGCATATTAGACCACACCCCTGACAGCACAGCTCATTAGCCCATTAGGCCACACCCCCATGTTACCAGAAGTGTGGTCATCCAGCCACACCCACCTTTTGCTTCTTATTCTGTTTACCTTGTTTGTTGTCAGGGCTTTTTTTGTAGCAGGAACTCCTTTGCATGTTAGGCCACACACCCCTAATGTAGCCAATCCTAATGAGTTTCTGCTGTTGGGTGTGGCCTATTATGCTAATGAGTTCCTGCTGGGCGTGGCCAACTCGGGAGCCAGCCGGAACTCCGTTCCTGCGCGTTCCTGCCCAAAAATAGCCCTGCTGACTACCATCTCTCTATGGTGTGTGTGTGTGTGTGCACGTGCGCACAAGTGAGAATGCATGCCTCTCCTTTGCCCACCATAAACTTTAGACAAGAATTGCCATTCCATCTGGACTGGACTACAGAAACCACATACAAACAGAGCTTTAGGATATCTTTCACATTATTTATGCTGAAATCTGTCTGTAATACAAGTATATGCTGGCTGGATGGTACACTCAGTTTCAAAGGGACCTCCTCCTCCTCCTCCTCCTCAAATTAAAGATGTTAACATATGGCACAAAATATTGTGCATAAAAACATCAGACGAAGACTCCTAAGGTAGTGTCCTGTTTTTGACGGGGGCCACTAGCAGGGTCCATGGGGTCGTGAAGTGTCGGACTCGACTGTGCGACTGAACAACAACTAGCAGGGCAGGAAAGCAGCAGACCCCACACGTGTGCCTATTGTTTGTGCCTCAGCGAGTGGTATTCAGAAATACACCGTCTCTGAAACTGGAATTACCGTTTAGCTGTCATAACGAATACCCTGCCCTGGGTGAATTTGTCTAATTTCCTCAAGAGACAAGTGCCTCTTAGACTGTGTATGTGTGTTCGTGTCAGTCACACGGCAGTGGTGGTGTTAGGTCTGGTTCATCCAGTTATCTCTTCACACAGAGTGGCCAGGCCTTTTCCAGGGATGCAGCCAGAAAGAGAAAGCAACATCTGTCCCAATGCAGCTGCTCCTTCCTGGCAGCTATTGCCTCGCTTCCTGAGCTGCAGCTTGTGGCAGTGTCTAGGGACCTGGCAGATTTGACCGGCAGCTATTCCCATTAGCAGGGCAGTGACAACATGTTTTCGGCCGCCTCGCTTCCTGAGCTGCAGCTTGTGGCAGTGTCTAGGGGCCTGGCAGATTTGACATTGCTGCCGTCCACTTGCCGGGTTTGCACTCATTTTCTCACCGAGCTGCTTGCAGTATAAGTGAATGAGGTGGCATTTAGATGGTGTAGAGGAGCTGTCCGGATTATATTGTTATGACATCTGTGTAATCTGATCCAACAACTGAAGAGATAAAAATCGTCCATCTTTGTTTCCTTAGTCGAACGGGATGGTTGACTGTCTTTGCTGAGTACAGCGCCATCTACTGGCTCTGAGAAATACCATCTTCAAAGCACCATTTGTATACACATTAAAGGGGGACAAACCTTTAAACAGGAACCACCGATGTATAAAACACAAGCCAGGTGATATTGCGTTGATGTCTTAGCTGACATTCTCTGAGATCGGACTATCATGAGCTGTCCTGAACAGCTCCTTTAGTGTTCCAGGACATGCCCACAATAGCTAGTGCTGGTGTGCTTTTAAGAATCACACGTTGCGCCTTCCAGTCATTTTCCTTGCAAGCAACCAGCCCAACTTTGTAGGTGATTCTTTATGCTTTTCACTTTTATGTTGGGATCTGCAGATTGCAACCAGGTAGCCATTTTGAAACCATAGAATGAAAATCTGTGCCAATAAAATAATAAAATCCTTTATTTTGAGTCTTGGAAGAAGGAATTAAATACGACAGGCTTACGTCATTGTGCCTCATTTTTAATATTAAACAGGATAATTGAAATGAGTAAATGGTCAAGACTGAATGTTAATTGTGTGGCTGTTGTACCAACAAGCTTTAAAGTTTGTAGTTGTACTACTCTTGTGATTCTTTATCATTTTTGGTTGTTGTTTCAAAATGCAAAGAAGTGATCTGACTTTGTACGATATTGTAATTTCCCCCCCCCTTTTTTTGAAATAGAAATATTCAAAAATAGTAATGCCTTTCGTGAGGCTCAACCAGTTTTCAAAGTACACCACATCAGCATTTGAGATACAAAGGACTGGATCCTTTGTCTTTGTTCCATGCACTGGGAACTGTGGAAGTAGCCCTCCGCCGCAGATTTCCTGTACTAGTCACTTTGGGGGCTCCCTGGAATTGTGCTCAGATAGGGTTGCCAAGCGTGAATGTAGCCGCCAGTGGGGGACTCCCGGCTGGTGGCTGTAGAGCGTGCGTGCACGCTTTGCACACGCGCACCGCATGCACGTCACCCCGGAAGTGACGTGACGACACCCGGGGGGGGGCCACGACCATCCGAGGGAAAATCATAGAGTTTTCCCTCGGATGGCCGTAGCCCCGCTCCCAGCGTGCCCAGCGTGGTCGCGTCACTTCCGGGTGACGCGCACGTCAGGGTGGAGTTCCCCCTGGGGCCCGATCTGCCGCCCCCCGGGGGGACTTGAGAAGCCTATGCTCAGAGGAGCTGAAGTCTGCCGTGGTGGACTGCCTCTGCATTGCCCAGAGAAAAGCGTGTGTGGACCAAAGGTATAGGAGCCAAGCCAGAGTCTTCTTTAGGAAGAACGATCTTGGGGGGGAAATAGTTGGTTATGAACTAGGTGTGACATTGAGCCCAGCTTGTTATTGGTTGTAGATTTAAATCAAAGAGCACGTATGTACCTCTTGCACAAGTAATAAGGATAAGGATAGTATGCAGTGTTTCAGAGTTACGTAGAACAGACCCTGGATCCCCCGTGTGGTATCCGTGGCCAACATGGTACCCACTATCACCTTTCTTGGCACCCACCAAATGTTTGGAGAAAGTGCAGGGAGGGACAGGGGGCTTTTGCCCAGCAAGCCTTCTGACTGGCTATTGGAGATTTGATTGGCTGTGCAGATTCTTAAAAATGTTGCTTTGGCTGTAGCTGCCACCACAGGACAAGGATAATAGCTTCAGTCAGTATCTTCACTGTGTGACTGGAAGTAGGCCACAGTGGCCATTTTGTGGCTGGCTCCAACCTCCTGTGGCACCCATTTTATGGCAGCCATTTTGTGTCTGCCACCCACCACGCTGTGTCAGAATTTCAAAGGCTCAGAAAGGTTGAGGACCCCTGTAATGGACGATACAATGGGGAAAGCTTCCTTTCAAAGAGTGCTCATAATCTCTCTGGTTCAGATACTCACTGTTACCCTTATACAGAGCTGGACAGTGCTGAAGAACTCGAGAAGAAACGTATCTGCAGAATTATCACAAAGGACTTCCCTCAGTACTTTGCAGTGGTTTCACGGATCAAGCAAGAAAGCAACCAGATTGGTCCCGAGGGTGGTATCTTGAGCAGCACGACCGTGCCGCAGGTTCAGGCTTCATTTCCAGAAGGAGCGTTAACCAAAAGAATACGAGTGGGACTTCAGGTAACAAAGTCACATTTCTTTGGGAACCAAAAGTGTGATTTAATTGAGCCTTGGTGCAAGGGAACGTAGGGTTGCCAAGTCCATCTTCCCCCCCCCCAGTGGGGGACTTTTGGGGCGTTCCTGGAGGGGGCGGGGCATCCCCCGACGTGATGACGTCACGTTGGGGACGTCCGCCGTCCCCCCCACCCGCCCGTGCGCCGGATCTCCAGAAACGGCAGTTCCCTGCACTTAAAGGAGCCGGCGTTTCCCTTTTAAATGCAGGAGCCGGCGTTTCCCCTTTAAGAGCAGCCACGTTTCCCATTTAAGAGCGAAGCTGGCATTTCCTTGCAAGCTTGCGGAGATTGGGCTTGGGAGGAAACACGGGTTCCACACACTTAAAGGGAGAGAGATGGCCGGCCGCGGGTAGAACCCCCCCAAAAAACGGGGGAGCCCTGCCAAACCGGGGGGGTTGGCAACCCTAAGGGAAAGTAAGGGAAACTCTTGTGCATTTAACAGAAGAGGCAAGTGCTTTTTTTCCTTAGCCCTGAATGAGAAAGGGGAACTGCCTAAATTCCTTCTTTTATGCAGCTACTGAAGGTAGTGGCACTGTCCTCCTTAATTTTGATCTCCCTGCTGAGCCTTATAGAAAACAGCCCTGCTGGATCAGACCAATAGTCCGTCTAGTCCAGCGTCCCGTCTCACGCAGTGGCCAACCTGTTCGTCCGGATGGCCAGGATGATGGACGGGTTGAGGCCAGCAACAGTTCCTAACATCTGCCTGGCACCCTCCCCATGACTGAATGCGAGCACCGCCGTCTTGTTTTAAAATGTCCTCCAATGTTTCAGTGTTTTGAACGTTTCTAATACTGAATTTTTAATGGTTTTAATGGATTTGATAATGTACTGAATTGATTGTTGTAAACCACCCTGTGCCCGACGCAAGTGGGGAAGGGCGGTTAAGAAATCTAAATAAATAAATAAATAATAGATGGACTTTTCTAGACCAAACAACTGGGCTCTGAATGAGTCAGAGATTTACAGCATATGGGGAAAGCGTTCTTGGGACTGCAGCCCTCATGTAACTGTTCATTCAGTAATTATTAGGTGTTTCTTCAGGGTTTCCATTTCAGAATGGTGTGTTGCTAACATTTTTGTCATGATAATATTGAATTTAATTGAACTCCATTGTTGATTTTTACCCCTAATACTGGATTCGTGCAGCCTTTTTAGCTTTTGGCATTCCCTCAGTGATCCCTTCCTTCTGACCAATATTTTAATTTTATATCCTTGGTACGCAGGGGCTCTTTTTGTAGCAGGAACTCGTTTTCATATTAGGCGACACACCCCTAATGTAGCCAATCCTCCAAGACCTCACAGCAGCCCCTGTAATAAGAGCTTTGTAAGCTCTTGGAAGATTGGCTACATTAGGGGTGCGTCGCCTAATATGAAAAGGAGTTCCTGCTACAAAAGGAGCCCTTAGTTCTTTTTAAATTGTTTTAATAATGTGTGTGTTTTGGGGTGTGTGTGATTTTAATGGTTTTAAAATGTGGTCTTAAAATGTGGCTAATTTGCTAGCCGCCTTGATGAACCTTGTAAGGCCGGAAAGGCGGGAAATACATTTTGTTAAATAGAAAGTAATTATTTTTAAAGTGACAGAAATGTTGCTTGAAATACGACATTGAGGCAAAGTAGGGACTGCCTTTGGAAGGTCAATAGTGTTGGTCCAATAAACCATAAAGAGTAGCGTCGTATACTAAGAAGCTGGATCAGGGTTCCCCAGTGTGGAGTCCACGGGCACCACTAGTACTCCCCTTGGCCCCCATAGAGCATCTCAGAAAGTAGACGGGACCACTGTAAGGGAGTGCTTGTTATTGCCCGCCCTCATTCAAATGAAAGGTTTTCCATTGGAGTGTCAGGAGGACTGGTAAGTTGGCGTGGTTCCATTGCCCTCGAGGTTTTCCTTCTTTCCAGGAGGTGTGTGGGTGCTGGTATTCCATTTGGTGCCACCTGCAGTGGCAGCTATTTTGGGTTTTGTCTCGGCCTTCTGTGGCAGCCATTTTGGGGCTGCCCTCTCAGAATGCCAAAAGTACCAACAGAGTCAAAAAGGTTGGGGGCCTCTGAGCTAGATGGAATGAGGCAACTGTTTAGCTTTCCTTAAAAAAAAAAATCATAAACCTTAAACTCATTCTTCTAGACTGTCGTGTTTTTTTTTACCGGTAAACAGGCTCAACCAGTTCCAGATGAAACCGTCAAGAAAATTCTTGGCAACAAAGCAACTTTCAGTCCCATTGTTACCGTGGAACCCAGAAGAAGAAAATTCCATAAACCAATCACCATGACGATCCCCGTGCCGCCCCCATCTGGGGAAGGGATAACCAATGGATACAAAGGCGACACCACACCCAGCCTTCGACTACTATGTAGTATCACAGGTTAGACAAGAACATTAAAAAGTAATTTGTCCGCTTTCCCCCCCTCAAACTGTGTTTCTAACAGCACAGTCTTAAGAAGAGTTGCACCTTCATAGAAGTCAGTGCGCTTGACTGGATTTGAGTCACTCTACTTAGGATCGCACTGCAAATGTTAGTTCTGTTGCTGAAAGAAATTTCTCCAAATATCGGAGGAGACACAGTATGGTCTAAATGCATTTTTTAAAAACCTAAATTTTGCTCAGAGAAAAAGAAACACACTGCATAAGTGAAGCAAATTTGCATAGTGAGTTGGATCCATAGGCACTTTGTGCAAGTAGGAAGCACTTTCCTTCATGCAAAGGGTCTGTGATATCAGCGGATATTCTAGCCTAACTGGAGCCTCCCGTACTGCACCCCATGCTGTAGCCGAGGGTCACAACCTCAGTAGCGGCATTTTCGGCGGAGACAAAGGAGAGGGGCAAAAGATCCGTGCCATCAACATGGCTTCGCTTGCATTTTTTTGGATCCAAGTCACTGTGTTCCGTTAAGTTTTCTAAGTAAAATAAATCGGTGGGTCTAGAGGAGTGTAACTTTGCTTAGGATAAGGGATGCTGCAAGTTTTGCAACAAACATATTCTTTGACGGTCAAGCTTTAATGTGTTCAGAGGTGTCGATGAGATGAAAGTCAGGTCAGCCCATCAGTTTGGTTTGTGCCGAACAGCCGCAAATGCCTGCCAAAGTGGTTTGCATCAGGTTTTTGCAGAACTGTGCATGCGCAAAAACGCTGCTGATTCAAACTAACCGGCCAGCCGTTACTTAGCATGGTACTGACAGGGTGTCTTGTTTTGCATATTTTATTCTGCTTTGTATAATGCTTTTTGCTAATGGTGGGGCAAGGATCCCTACCTCAGTCCCTAGAAATCTTCCAGTCATTTGGCTTCTCAGATTAGGGCAGCCAGATCTCCCGGGGGGGGCAGGGGTTTGCCCGCTTTTGGTCCCCCAGATCCGCCGGCTCGGATTCAGCCAGTGGGGGAACCCCACCCCCAAAGTGCTCAGCGCAATGATGTCACCGGGGGTGACGTCATTGCACAGGGCACATTGAGGGGGGTGGGTGGGTTTACAGACAATCAGTTTTTCCTTAAATGGTAGAGCGTTCCCTGCAATGTGCTATGCGCGATGACATCGCTTCCCACTGATGTCATCGCTACGCACATGCTTCATGCATGCACTGAAGAGATCCCAGAGAGGTACCGAGACACCCCCCCCCCCCCCCCTCGATTTCCTGCAAACTCAGCAAAAAAACTTTTTAAAAATTTATTTATTTATTTATTTATTTATTAATTATTTAGATTTTTATCCCGCCCTCCCTGTAAATAAAAGCTGGGGTTCTCAGGAAGCTGGACGGTACAATCAGTGCCACGTTATGCAAGATTTCTGTTTTGCAGAATCACAGCACGCACGCACACGCGCACACAGCTCAGTGTGACCCTGTGGTGCTCTTTGTGCGTCTAAAACGGTGAATTGCACAATCATTTTAAGAACTATTATTAAGAAGTAATTATAAAGACATGCTCAGTGTTTATATGTTTACTGTTTTATACTACAACATAAATGCAGATTTGCTTGGGTACATAATACCCTTTATGTGGCAGATTTCATATTCGTTGAGGACTCTCCAAGCTTTCCTACTTGAGGAATCATCCCTGTGACTGTTGGCATTTGTTCGTTTAATCCAACTTTTCAAACTGAAAAGTTTCGCAGAAACATTCTATTTCTTTGTGTGTATTTCGGTTTGATCATTTTCATGCATTTCTGTGACTGAGACTTTCTCTTCCAAAATTTTCAGAGCATTAACAGAGCCAGTTTGGTGTAGTGGTTGAGTGCGCGGACTCTAATCTGGGAGAACCGGGTTTGATTCCCCACTCCTCCGCTTGCACCTGGCTGGATGACCTTGGGCAAGCCGTAGTTCTGACAAGAGCTGTTCTTGAAAAAGAGCAGTTTTTGTCAGAGCTCTCTCAGCCCCACCTCCCTCACAGGGTGTCTGTTGTGGGGAGGGGAAGGGAAAGGAGTTCATAAGCCACTCTGAAACACCTTTGGGTAGTGAAGGGAGAGGTATAAATCCAATCTCCTCCTCCTCCTTCTAGGCTGCCTAGTTGCCTTCTTCACTGTTTATTTACATCATAATGTATTAGGGTTGCCAAGTCCGTTTCTCCTCATGGCGGGGGGCTCCCGGACGGTGTCCTGAGCGCGCGCACGACATGCACGTCAGCCGGATGTGACGTGATGACGCCGGGCACGCTGGGGGCGGGGCCACAGCCATTTGAGGGGAAAACATAGAGTTTTCCCCTCAAACTATTTTTCTATTTCTGTATTCTAAAGGAACTTGATTGCTAGTGTGAGTTGGGTTGCCAAGTCCGTTTCTCTTCGTGGCGGGGGGCTCCCGGACGGCGTCCCGAGCGCGCACGCGCCACATGCACGTCAGCAGGATGTGACGTGATGACACCGGGCACGCTGGGGGCGGGGCCACAGCCATTTGGCTGTGATGGCTGTGGCCCCGCCCCCAGCGTGCCCGGCGTCATCACGTCACATCCGGCTGACGTGCACGCAGGGGTGGGGTTCCCCCCAGGGCCCGATTCCGTGGCGGCGGAAATCAGGCCTCCAAAGCGGGGGATTATCCGCTCCCCGGGGGGACTTGACAGCCCTATAATGTATAGGCAGTTTCATTTTCCTGGGTGAGAATAGCATGAAGGGGTTTCTGCTGCAGGTGGGGAGAACTTGGGGAAATTGCTCTCTCCCTTCCATCAGTAGAAATCTTCCGTGGGATCCAACCCAAGGACTGGGGGGGGAGGCTGGCTTCAAGCCACGAGGCCACGAGGCTCACCTGGATGCCTTTGGGACACTCTCTCTGCTTTATTATTGCTAATTATTGTGAAGATTCAATGGGAAAGGGAGCCATGCAGAGGTCATTTCGGGGGGGAACGCGGGGGATCGCAGTTCCCCCGGGTGAGGTACGGGGGGCGGGGCACATGACGAAGCCTCGCCCCCTGGGCCGGGACCGTTGGGGGCAGGGTGTTTGGCCTTATGACACATTTCCAGTTATGTCAGGAGATGTGGCCTTATGACACACTTCCGGTGATGTCAGGGGGTGTGGCATATGCTAATGAGCATGAGTTCCCCTAACTTATTTTCTACGAAATGACCCCTGGAGCCATGTATACTTCCCTGAGCTCACTGGGGGAAGGTTGGGTTTAAAAAAAAACTAGTAAGAAGAGGGATCTGCCTGCCTTTCTGTCTGTGCACACATAGACAGAAACGGCCAGGAGCAGGAGAGAGAACACCAAGTGCAACGAGGTCTATGCTGCCTTGAGAGGAGGGGCCTAGGAAGTTCAAGTGAGGGCATGAGGACATTGGCTCGGCCAGCGTTCGACACACCCATCGCCTGCCACCCGCTCCCATCAACGTGGAGACTCTGCCTAGGACCGTATCCAGAATTACCCCCAGGATTTCTCAGGATGTCTTAGTAGTTTTAACACATTTGGTTAAAGACTGAAGCAAACCATCTTCCAAGCAGAAGTTCAAAGCTGTGTAGAAATTTAGATCGTTTTAAAGAACATGTGTTGACGCGTCTCCTTTTTTCCCTCCCCCTAGGCGGTACTTCACCAGCTCAGTGGGAAGATATCACAGGCACGACTCCACTGACCTTTGTGAACGACTGTGTCTCTTTCACAACCAACGTTTCAGCCAGGTATAGGAAGA